AAAAAAATTACTAGCTAAAAAATTTTTGGCTAATTTTTTTATAGGTGTTCCAGGAATAATTAAATCAGCTATAATATTTGACAGTAATTTTTAGTTTAACTCAAAGAATTAGCAAAAAATTAAAAACTAAATTTTAATAATACTTAGTTCTAAGAGCTAATTTATTTAGGCCTAAAAATTAGCAAAAAATTAGAAACTAGAACCCGAGCAATGCCGGGTTCTAAGAGCTAGTTATTGAAGATATCATCTTGATGTGTATTAACCTTGTAAAATATTATATTTAGGTTGTAAGATTTAGAAAAGTTAAAAGAGTGTTCCAAATAGATTAGTAAAATGTATTTGTAAAGTTTGTAGTATAAGTATTGTGTAAAAGATTATAAAATTTTGAGATAGCTGATTGAGAATTAGTAAAGATTTTTATAGAGCAGTTTTTAGAAGCAATGCAAATAGCTTATACTATTGCTATAAGTTTTGCTTTGCAAGAACAAGGCCAGAGTTTAATTTTTACTTGAAAAATATGAAATACAGTTTGGTTTTGCACTTGTAGCCATCTGATACCCATGGAGCATTAGAAGGTATCTGTGTTTATAACAGAACTATAAGTATAAAAATTAAGATTAGGAGCATTTTAATTGTAGATAGCTATTAAATGAAGAGTCTAAAAGCTTTATTAGATAGAAAAAAAATTGGTATTTGGGATTGTTCTATAGTGTACTTGGTTTAGAACTAATATTATATAACCTTTTATAACTATGTAAAATAAAAATAATCATAACTAATCATATTAATATTATAACTGAGAAAGTTTTTCTGTAAATATTAATTATTTATATTTTATATTTTATTTTTAAAGAAAAAGTTTTTTTAATTTATTAAAACTTAAAATATTAGCCAAAATATCTAATATATCTTAAAATTTTAGCTATTAATATAAAATTTTTAAAAATTTTTATTATACTAAAATTAATTGGCTGATTTTTTATATAGTACAAAAATTTTTATAATAAAAGTTTTATAATTTTGGTCACTTTTAGTTACATAATGTTGGTTCTAGGCTATATGCACTATATAATTAGTCTGGGAAGTAGTGGAATAAAAGTAGTATTTAAAATTAAAATTAAGTATATAAAGTCTTAGTAATTGATATAGAAATTGATTAATTTATTTATATTAAGTTTATCAATAAACTTTGTTGCAAGATTAGTGTAGATAACATAGTATATTTATTAGATATTAAATTAGTATTAAATAAACAATTAGTGCAAAGTAAAAGAGATATAGGAGAGAGTAGGTATAGTTGTAATGAGTAGATAAGATTGTAGTAATGCTAGTAAATTATAAGTATATAACCAATTATTGTATATTAATAATAAGCTTTATTAACAATAATTTGATTGTTGAGTAAAGAGATTAGCCAAGCTTTGTAATGTTGGTAAAAGTAAATAGAAAGTTAAAGTGTGAATGAATAGTTCTGTAAAAAAAGCTAGTAATAGAAAGATTTTCTAGTATAGTAAACTATCTAGATATTTTGCCTTTTGGAATTTTGTTTAATCTTGGTAAAATGCATTGCTATTCAAGTAGACAAAGATTGTTAGATATAGTGAACTAGTCAAGAAAAGTAGATTATGATACTAGAGTTGTTTTTTGAAAGTAGAATATTGAGAATAAGAGTTGAAAATTGGTTCAAGTGAAGTTAAACCTTCCTGAGTTGTAAAAAGAATAAAAGTATTAGAGTTGGTATATTTTTTATTTTTAGCTCTTCTTATTTATAATACTTTTTTTTTAACAAACAAAAAAGTTTAAACCATTTTTTGGTCAAAGATTTTTAACTTATACACATTATTTAAAAAGTTTGTTATAAATGTAATATGAGCTAAGACACTTTAAAGCAATGTTATTGCTCTAAAGTTACTTTTTTTTTTTTTTTTTTTACATATTTTAGAGTAATTTATTTTTTTATATCAAACTTAAACTTACTTAATACTTTTAATTATAGTACTTTATATATTTTTTTTACAAATTGATTTTAATAATAGATATCTTAAGAAGTATAACAATCTTATATAGTTGAAAAATTGTTACTTCAAGAATTTGCAATTAAAGATTTAAAGTTCAAATCCTACTGTTGATATTTTTAATAACTAGTTTTTATTAATTAGTTAGAATTTAGGGCTTGTAATTTTGGTTAGACTAGTGTACTTTATACTAGTATTCTCATATTTAGTTTGAGTCTGATAGAGTTCAAGTTCAAGTTTGATCAAACCCAAACTTGAACTCTAAATTTTGCAGATTTTCAGACTCAAGCCAGAGCCAAACTCTATTTTTTGAACTCAAACCAGACTCAAACATAACTAATAGTTTGGTTTGAGTTTAGTTTAAAAGTTTGCAAACATGTTTGGATTTGATGGAAATATAATCTATTATATATTTTTAAATTTAAGGTTAAGGATTCTTTATAATAATTTTGTTATAAAACAAGGTTAAAAGTATAATATTAAAAGTATTTTTTATATAATTAGATTAATTAGGGAAGTGTTATTCATTGTCTGATTTTTTTTAGCAGAAAGTGGATACCAAAATATCATGTTAATAGATCACACACACATATATATTTTTTAATGTTAATGGTAGATCATATATATATATGTTTATATATAATTATAATCATTTAAGAAAGAGGAGAGAAATTTTACTATTTCAAAAATCAGCTGATATAATTATTAAATTATAAGCAAATATTTGTTATATTCGTTAGTGATAATTATATTAATAATCTTATCAAAATTGTTTGATTCTATTAATAACCCTATGAATATAATAATCACTATTGCCTAAGTATTCAAAATAATTTCATGCTTATAAGTATTAAAATTTAACTTTATTTTACTTGTATATATTAGTAGAAAGATATAAACCTATACATTAAAATAGTTTATGAACGTTTTTGATTTAATTTAGTATATAAATGTAATGAATATCAAGAAATATAAATATAGGGCTGCCAGTAAAAACCAAGCAAATTGTTTTTAGTGTGTTTTTTTAAAAATTTTAAATCAAAATATCTCAACAACTATTAAACTAAACCTGATAAGTTTTTTTTTTTATTTTAATTCTATAACTACGTAAAATTCAAATAAAAAATTTTTATCAAGTTTGGTTTAATAGTTATTGAGATATTTTATTTTAAAGTTTTAAAAAAATTACTTAGAAACAATTTGCTTAGTTTCTACTGGCACCCCCTCATATTTAAAAAACCATTAAGATTATAAATATTTCTATTCAAAATATATTTGCTTTTGTCTAAAATTTAAATACAATTGCTCAACTTAGTGTTTCGACCTGTCACAAAATCACAACCCGGGTCACCCATGTGTGGATTACCCAGGCCATCCGGATGGTAAAACAAATCTGCAAGAGAATTTATACAATCATTAATTAACTCAGATTTTATTTATACAGCTAGAGTTCCAATCCGGATAAATCTGTCATCCGTTTATCCGTATCTGAATTATTCGGAAAATTCAGATCACTCAGATATCTGGATAATCTGACAGGTATTCAGATAATTATCCGAATATCAATAGTAAAATGGATATCTGAATAAATTCAGATCCAGATATCTGAAAGATAAATGGATAAACAAATAATAGATCGGAACACTATATATAGCACTTAAGTTTAACTTTTGTACTTAACACCGCGAATAAATTGTAAATATTTATGAGATTGAGTAGCTTGTTTAAATGCTTGGATTAACGTGCTAAATTAGCGCGAATGATCTAAATAGAATGAAATTTAGTAGTAAATATTCACGAATTTCGATATCTTATTTTAAACTTTATTGTCGTATGAAATTTTTATACTCAGGCACTAAATTAAAATAAGCTACTTGTAAATATTCATAGGCATAAATAACTTATTTTAAATTCTTAGATTTATAAATGTTCTTTATGCTCATGCCCTAAATTAATGTAAATAAAATGAATAAAGTGTTTTTTAAATACTTGAGGCATTTATAAAAAATCCAAACTAAGATTTGGTCAATTTTCTGATAATATATTATAATTTAGAACAGCTATTGCGAAAAAAGTCTGTAAGCCAAGAACATATCTTGTCAACATTTCTAATAGAATATTGACATTTGCAAATGCCAAGTAATCTTTAATATATACCTGCTAGTGCTTGCTAATTCGTTGCAAAAATATAAAGACCTAACTCTCAAGACAACTATCCAAATTTGTTTGAAATATTCTAGAATTTTGAGATTTTACCATCCCTTGTCGATTGTAAATCGATGCATTCATATTTATAGATACTATAATTTAATTGGTTACTTATCATGCAGGGTGAAAATTGATTTATAATGTGATGTTCATTGTGCGCTAATCTTTCAAGCATCCCTGCTCGCTTTGACCTAGGTGTGGGTCGGAACGCTAGACTCAACTATTATAAGTTTGAGAGGTTCTAAAATTCCGACTCATATAATGTGTACTTAGAATCAATTTATCCTGATTCTAAATCTGCAAAGATTCTATTCTAACATACAATTACATAAGTTACGCATATCTTTATATTTCCAAATTACTTAAACTCCCAGCTCTTTATATCGAAACGCTTGTTTATCTTATTTGCCTATCTCCACGTTTATCTTTTATTGTTTATCTCATAGTGTTTATCTACCCCGATGCTCCTTATGTTATAGATAAAAATTAGCTATTTTGAACTAATTTAATCAAATTTATGAATATATGTATAGTTAGGATTAGGGTGAGGATTAGAGTTAAGTTAACCAAAATAGGTAGTTTTCATATATTATAATTTATAATCCGAATAATTCTATTCGTTATCCCGTTATCCAAGTATCCAGATAATTACCCGAATACGTATAAAAAGTTCGTACGTACATATCTGATATGTATGTTCATACTTAATATAATCTCTTCTTAAACGTTAGTAAACACTCTATAATACCAGATATAGCCCAAATTGCAAACACAAATATGGTTTTTTTAGTATTTCTCGATCATGTATGCTATATTAATTTACTTGAACGTTAAATTTTTTCTTTTATTAATTGTTTATGCCAAAATACGTTTTATTTTTAAGATTCGACTCTGGGCAGGTCTTCTTTCACTATTAGTATTTTTATATGTTCGAAATTTTCATATAACATATACGATCTTTGGAGGTGGAGTTGTGAGAATAATTGGTAAAAACTTATTATTTTTAAATAATCGAAAAATTTTTTTTAATTGCTCACTTTTTTTATTTATTAGTTGAAATCCTAAAACGCATAATTCGTGAGCCACGTCCGATCAATTGCAAGCGAAAAAAAAAATCCTATGGAATGCCATCATCTCATTCAGCAATTGTAATTTATTTTGCAATTTTTTTTTCATTACAATTATATACTTCATCTTTATATGAATTTTTTGATTTTATATCCATACATACTATTCAAATTACCTCACCCATAAAAACTTTTATAAAATTGATATTATTCTCGCTGATTTCATTAACTGCATTGTCTGTCGTTTGGTCAAGAGTTGCGTTAGGTTATCACACAAAAAAGCAAGTAATCGTTGGAATGGCATTAGGATTTTGGCTTGGAATTATTTGGTATAGGTTGTGGTGGGGATATTGGAGCAAAACTTGGATTGGACAAGAGTATCATCTTTTTTGAAATATTTATTTACATAAAAAATGGCTTTAATAATATTTTAAAAATAAAAATTATATTATAGTAATATTTAATTTTACATTATAAAAAAAGTTAAGCTGCTTATAAACTAAAATTAAAAAAAATATTTGTGACTTTCTATTTAGTAAAAACTAGTTGAACTCTTAATAGATCGTTATTGTAGGATAAAAAAAAAATTTTATGGCTGTGAAATATTACGAGACGTAAAAATCTGGTAATATATGACGGGTGTGATCACTATAGATAATAGAATTTAAGATTTTGCCGACGTATCTCTTTGATAGTAATAGACCAGGTGAATCAGTGGTGACAACAAACGATCCTCGGTCCCGTGAATTTTTAGAGTTCCCAGAATTTTACAACTTGTACCACCTACAACTACAAATTCGGAAATATCAAGGTTAGGGTAACAATGTAAAAATAGCACTAATAGGGTCGGTCTTGCCCTCACAACGGTAAAATTATAGTGGATTGATATGATATGTTTTTTAAAGAGGTATTTTACACTCTATAGTATATATATCTTAAAATATTATGAAATTTCTTCGTTTAAATTATGGCATCTCATATTAATATAGTTATGTTGTATTTAGTTGTATATCCGATATTTATTTTACCTGAATTCAATAGCTATTCTGTATGTGCTTGAGGGAATTTTAAATCGATATGAATAAAAATTTAAACGAGAAATTAATTAATATATATATTGATTGATAATGTTTCAATTGATTAAATAAAAAAAAAATCATATGAAAAAACTGACGCATACCAAAAATGTTTACAAGGTTGCGCTCCGGATCGGTTCGGATGACCACTCCGGAATTCAAAATTTTTGGTTGTAATTTGAAAATACTGTAAATTCTTTTTATGAAAATGTTAATATAAAAACTTTTTTTTTTAACAAAAAAAATTTATCATAATAGATTTGTGTATTTTATTTACTGAAAGAGAAGCTTTAAAAAACTAAAAACTTAATAATTTTATTCAATAAAATTTTTTTTATATAACAGTGTGACGAACCTCTCCATAATGAACTTGTTTTTTTCAGTACGTCAGTAAGAGTTGGTTATAATGTATTTGTAATACAGTAATAAAAGTAATTAAAGATGATCTAAAGAACTAGGAAAATTTTCCTTACAAAAATACAGCCAAGTTATTTAAAGAACTTTTAACGAATAATAAATCTCCTAGAATACAGCTTGTTTTTTATCATATAACTTCATGTTTTGTTGCGTAATTATTGATTTAATGTTAAAGAATTTGAAGTAGAATTAGTAGATCAAATAAATTAATATATAATTCTTTTTATTTTCTTTCTTTAATCTTATGCGCAAATAAAGATACGTGTAAATAAGAGTAACTACATGATCGTCCGGAGCACAACCTTGTACATATTTTCGGTATGCAAACCTGACATTATATGACGATTGTATGGCTTATATTGCCTTAAAATCACTACTACTGTAGCTACGTAATAATATTTATGCAGTATCTTATCGGTACAGTAATCCACCACAGTTTGCGTCATGGCTCAAGTCATACTCTGTGATTAAAAAGCCTATTCATTTGCAGCTAAAACTGGCTTCGGTTAACGGCTCTGAAATCCGTATTTGGTTAGTTCAATTCTGAAGAAAAATACGTAATAAAAAAAGCATTGATTGTCATTCACTTTAATTGAGACAAAAACCTGTTAAAGCAATAAAAAATACAAGTTGAACGTTCGTTATGGTTAAACAAATCTCATACTATATATATAATTATTATACGTAGTGTTATGTGATGCAACACAAAAATCACGACATTTACAAGACAATAACACTAACATTAAAAAAAAACAATTTTTATAAACGATTGTCATGGCAGCCACTTAGTGGATGTACTTAAATCGAGATAAAAACTTGTTAAGCAATAAAGATAAATACAGTACTATGTGATGCATATCGTAATGTTTAAGTGCAGAAATTCACGTTTTTACTGCGTTTAATGCATATACCTCGTAACCTTACATATCACTCCGTTCCTGGTAAATTCTGTCATAAACCTATTACTATTTCGTGATTGAGTTTGCATTAACCTGTAACATGAATTACTGTATGGTAGTGTTAGTTTGCGTCGAATTATTATGTTAAGGATAAACTAAACTAAACTTCCCCATCATAAATCTTAATATAACCTGGACCTCTATCTCTAGGCTATATTTTTTCATTATATCCCATATAATAGTAAATTTCAAATCGACGTCCCGGTTACCCTGTAGGTAGACATAAACTCTCTTTTTTTTGAGTATTTTGGTGATAAGGCCACGCCAAGTTAAAACTATGTTTAACATAACCCCCCCGCTTTTTGAGCCTCGAATAGAATATAAAAATCATATTAACTGTTCAAAAAAAATTTTTTTTAGCCAATCAAAATCCTATGTTTTTTTTACCCCCCATTTAGAGTTGCAGATCATTTATCAGTGTTATGTTAAACATAGAATCAAATTGGCCTAAACAGCATGCGACTCACTAACGCATGTTGTTAAGGTTATATGTATCTCAGTTAATCTAACATCCACAAAATATGCATAACAAACGAAAATCGATTTTTAAAAAATCATAGATGACAATTGAATGGGAATAAAAATAACTGTTCCTGTATCTTTAATTTTCGCATTTCAATTTTCACGCATCGATTATTAATTCATACGAATTATGATGATTAGCTGATTTAAACTTCGTGAGTTTATGCACATATATGTAAGATTGTCCAATCAGATAGCTTAAAAGAGACATTTAATATTAGAATATATTTTGCTCTAAAATCATCCGTTTCAGTAAAATTTACACTAAAATAGAAATACGCATGCAGACAAAATTATGATTTTGATAATGAGTAAATTAAAAACGTAACTACTGATGTAACTTTTGTATCACTTTGACTAAACATTTAATGTTCTCCGTTACACTCCAGACAACCACTTTATTAGTGAATAATTTTTTTTTCTACTTTTAAAAATATGGACTCTGAACAACTTCGCATTCTTGGTTATAATTATCAACATGGTATTGGTGTTAATAAAGACGAAAAAAAGGCTTTTGAATGTTTAATGAGAGCAGCTGAGTTAGGAAATCCGGATGCGATTAATGACGTTGGTTGTTATTTTTATAAAACTGGAGTAGAAGCAAATTACCAGAAAGCATTTGAATATTATAAGAAGTCTGCTGATTTGAATAATGCTCATGCAATGTGCAATGTTGGTACTCGTTATGAAGATGGAATCGGTGTTGAACAAGATTATAATAAAGCGTTTGATTACTATAAAAAATCGGCTAATATGGGTGTTAAAATAGCAATGTATCATGTTGCACAACTTTATCGAAATGGTATGGGCACAAAGAGAGACATTCAGGAGGCAAATTATTGGTTCACAAAATATAGAAGTCTTTTGAAAACTAATAAATCACCGGATCAAATCAATCCTGAACTTAAGAGAATATTAGATTGAGAAATTTAAATTATCATGGATTGATTTTAACGAGTTTAGAATTATTAAGGAAATCAGAAAAGGGGGATTTGCAACTGTATATCATGCAGGATGGTTTGATGTAATTAATAATACGTGGTGGGATGTTGAACTTAAATTGATTCGAGATTCAAACGAAAATGAGCAAGAATTTATACAGGAATTGAAGAATTACTGTGAGATTAGTTACGAGAATCCTTCGTTCTTGAACTGTTTAGGAGTATCAAGGAATGGACATGATTATATTATTGTTATGCAGATTGCAGCGAAAGGTCCATTACAACAAAATCTTGTAAAAGTATCACAATTAGAATGGAAAGATAAATTGAATATTTTATACGGTGTAGCTTTAGATCTTGAGTCGATTCATTCAGGAACTCGTTCACAGAGATTTACACAGAGGAAATATTTTGTAAACTTTTGCTTTACATGACAGATCTTGGACTTTCTAGAAAAGTCAAAGAAGGAAATATTTGTGGAATTCTACCGTATATAGCACCTGAGGTTTTAGTGGGTCAACTATATACCCAATCATCAGATATTTACAGTTTTGGAATTATCGCAACAGAGATTTCGACCGGACAAAGAGCATTTGATGGGATTCCGTTTAATGATGAACTTGTATCAAGTATTATCGATGGGTCAAGACCTAAATGCATAGGACCAGATTGTTATATTAAATTAGTTATGAGATGTATGGAAAAAGATCTTGATAAACGACCTACAGCAACTGAAATTATTGAAATAATCACACATTGGTTAGATGAAATGAATCAGGGAGATGACAATGAAATCAAAAACAAATTTTGGAAGCTAATAAAATTAAACCTGAATTGATTAAACAAATACATTCACAAACCATCTATACTAGCAAGATATATGATACGAATAAATTTTCGGAATTTTCGAGCAAATTCTCGAATTTATATTAAATTAAATTTTAAATGTATGCATTTATGCAATGTCTTAGGATGGTGCAACTATTGTTAGTTATCAAAAGTTCAACGTTATCTATATTATTTAGATAAATATTTTCTTCTCATTTAATATATAAATTTTAGATTATTATTCTTATCATTTATACTTTGGGGTTTGCTTCTTGAGAGCAAGAAATTTTTAAAATTAATATTATAATTTTTTTGAATCTCAAATATTTGTTGAAATCTTTTATATACCACTTTTATAAAAATAAAAATAGGGAGTTGCTATTTCCACCATGGTTACACAAGATTTTCTATTTTTAGATAATAATATAAAAACCTAATAACCCTAACACTAACCCTAACACTAACTCTAACCTCTAACCCTAACACTAACTCTAACCTCTAACCCTAACTCTAACTCTAAAACTAATAAGTAAACATTTCTTCTAGATTTAAGTAAACTTGTAGAGGAGACTTTTCTATCAAAATCAGCTTGGTGGATCCAAAGATATTTGGATCTACAAATTCATTATTATACAAAGTATTATAGTCTATAATACTTATATTTGTGCCTTTAGCCCCAAATATCTTGGGATCCACCAGGCCGAATTTAATGATCTAACTACCATTAGGACTAGAAAAATCTTCTCTACAACTTTAATTAAAATTAAAAGAAAGATTTATATATTAGTTTTAGAGTTAAAATTAGAATAACTAAATCTAAAATCAGTTTTTTAAAAACTAAAGAAGTTTTTAATAATTAAAAGTTGTAGAGGTGATAATTCTAAGTCAAATGGTGGTTAGATTATCAAAATTGGGTCAGTAGTTATTGAAATATGTGTGATTAAATATCTAAACATAATAATAAGGATTAACAAATTTGCTGTTATATGAAAATCAATACTTTGTATAATAGTAACTTTGCCAATCCTTATATTTGCGCCTTTAACTCAAGATATCTCAAGAACTTTATTTAATAACTTCTTGTATAAATTTAAAAAATTTATTGACAAATCAGAATAATAGATTTAATATTACAAATTGAAGTGAATTATTTATATTAGTAGTCTAAATATTATCATTACACAAAATACCAAAATATAGTTTTTATATATAAAAATAATATATATTACACAATTTTTTTTAATAATTAGATTTTTAATATATAAAATGGATGTTTTATAAAATAGGTGGGCAAACTTTGCAAACTCTGCAACTCTGCTAAATATTTATTAATAATTATTAATCATTAGCAGAGTTTATTTTTTATATTGCCTACCTATTCTATAGAACATTCTATAAAATAAATTGTATATTATTGTTATACAAACTTTATTAGTATTATAAAATTTTTTATATATAGAGAAGTTTTATATTACACACAAATTTTTTTAGTATATAGTTATAGATATAGATATAGATATCGATATAGATATAGATATAGATTTTATATATGAAACCCCTCATAGCAAAAGAGAGCAGTGAGACAAAAAATTTTATTTTAATTTAATTGATTTCTTGGAAAATTAGATTAATAGAAATATAATTTTTATAAAATTACAAAATCAAAATTTTTGTTCCACTGTCCCCTTTTTCTATATAGAAGAAGTTTTTACATTACATACAAATTTTTTAGTATATAGTTATAAATATTTTCAAACCTCTAACTCTAACCCTAATATTAAATAGTTTTTTTTATTATAAATTTATATTATTATGTAGATTTGCAAATTAATTAATTAATGTCTGTATATATATATGGTGCAAAAAGCTTTTACTCAACAATCACATAATCACAAAAGCATAGTAACTTTAAAATGCATCAACTTTTTATAGAAGCAATATTTCAAAAAACTAACTAGTAACTTTGTAAAGCTCGTAATAAAGAACAAAATTACTGGTCAGTTTTTTAAAATATTGCTTCTATAAAAAATTGGTGTATTTTAAAGTTACTATGTTTGTTCAAATTTGAAATAAGCAAAATATTAGTGCAGATCAAAAAAATTCTTTGCTTATGCATATAATTGTCAAAAATAATTTAATTATATTACAAACATGTACAATTGATATCTTACTATATAGATAAAAGTGCAAGATTAATTTAATTATAATTATAATTAGAATATGTATAATAATTGGAATAAAGTCTATAATCCGGTGCTATAATATGGCATAATGAAATTGGCAAAATTATTTATTTTATTTAATAATAAACTTCACTTTTTATTCATCTTTAATTTCTAATATGCATATTATATATTGTTCAACTTAAAAAAATTACAATTTTATCTTTAAATTCTAATACACATATTATAAATTATTCAAGTTAAAAAAATTACAATTTTATAAACTAAATATTTATTAATACTTATTCATCCTAAAAATATAAATCTAAATACTGTTTATAATAAAGTCTTTATTTAACTAGATTAAATTTTATGACTACATCTAGTATTGTATACAGTACCCAGTATGACATGATTGGTGTGACACAATTTTGAAAAATTAAAAAAAACATATATATTATACAATTGCTTGTATTACATATGAGTAATGAAATATAAATTATTTCACTTTTGTCATTGTAGTAATATCTACCTCTATAAGAGTTAGAAGTACATATAATTGCAACAATAATAGATGAAATAATTTATAAGTTTTCATATCCCATTACTCATATTGCATATGTATAAATAATGTTTTAAAAATTGCTCTATATTAATTGTTACCCAAGTACTGTATCAGTGCTAGACAGTAATATTGCTGATGCTTCATATATCAAAAAGACGAGTACAAATAAATAATTTACCTAGAAATCAGGATTGTTTTATATCTAAAGAGGAAGCACTTGAAGTGCAGAATAAATTCACATTGAGAGTATATGAGAATGATGATATTGTCAGTTAACAGACAAAAAGAGTATATTCTAAAAATTCAAGAACAATGATCTGGAGGTGAAATAAAAAAAAAACAAGAAGAGAATGAAAAAAAATAAAAACAATGCTTTATCAAGTAACACATTGATTAATGCTTCAGAATCAAGTAACATGTTGATCAATGCTAAAGCATCGAGTAACATGTTACTCAATGATGAGATACTAAATTATATATTACTTGATACTAGATCATCAAGTAATCTATCATTATTATAATAATTTCAGAAAATTTTACAAATCCCTCTATCATTTACTAATACTAATTCAATTCTGTGTATATGTTTAGAAGATATCAATAAACAGTGTTAAATAAAAAAATTATTGAAAAGCAATACTTCAATATATAATTACTTGCATTTATTAAGCATAAGTCAATATATCTAATTACTATTAGATAGACAAGGCAAAATAAATGCCAGTATTCAGGTTGCATGATCACTATAGAACAAAGGTAAGTATATGTCAAGGTGTATCAGAAAATAGAGTGATTGCTATATAAAATCAAGAGAGCTTCCTTCTTATTACCAAGGGAAACATAAAAAATCTACAAGCTTGTTTGATAATAAGGATTTTTTGAAAAAATATAATAAATGGCAATCTCCAGAATCATGATCACCCAGAGCCCTAAAAATATATATTAAAAAAACATTATTGCCAAAAATAAGGCATACAAAAAATACAATCTCTGAGAAAACATGTTATATGTATATGTATACATTAGAATACAAGTATGATAAAAAAAAATTGTGTGTATTATGATAGATACAAATGGCTAGATGTATTAATATATATAAAAAAATGGTTAGAGAGGATGTTCAAGTACAAGAAATATATAAAAGACTTACAGGTGATATACTAGAAATAGTAATAGAGCCAGAACACAAATATGATAAAAAGAAATAGTGCAAATAATATGTGATAAATATTACTTTTATACAAATGATGATTAATGTAGAATTTAACCCAAGAAGATGAGAATATTTTGCATTCAAAGCATATAGGACGTTCTGTAATAGTTTTAGCTTTTATATGTTTATATCATGGGATATTGCAGCTATCTGAAGAGTATTTTCAGACCAATCCACATATTAAATATAAGGAATCTTTTGTTATTCGCTCTGTACAAGAAGATGAATATTGGAAGTCAGAACACATGTTGGAACAGGTTTTTTTTCTTTTTTTTTTAAAACAAAAATTTTAATTCTATTACTAACTATAAATATAGCTTTTGCAAAGAGCAATATCTATATTTGAAATATTGCAACCTAGATATATAAGAGTTTTTTGCTTCAACTAATCAACCAATCATAATGCAATAGTGGATGATGCATTGGTTGCAACAAGAATAAATAAAGGTTCTAGTAGAAAACAACCTAAAATGCATAATGGTTGGTATATAGATGAGTATGAAGAAAAGCATGATTAAAAAATAGTATTTCCAAATAATTACTCAATAAAAAAATTAAAAGAAGAACCAAAAGGCATTTAGCAAGTACTTGAAGAATGTAACCTTTGGCCAGTTGGAGGAGTAAATTTGGTATACAATCATTGTTCTAAAAAAATTAAAAATGATATTGAAGAGTTTGATTGCTATGTACAAAAAATCATATTAATACAACCAGATTTTTATGAATAGCAATCACTTTTAAAGGAACCAATTGTTAGAAAAGGTTATATTTTTGAACTATATTCAAAGTTTTATTGTGAATATAACTTCATTGAACGATATTGAGGCTTTGTTAAATGAGAACTTAGAGTATCATACAGTTACAATTATAAGGATTTGTTGAAATGGCTCCCAGAAAGTCTCAGTAATGTTCTAGTAACAACCATTCGTAAATTTGCACAAAAATCATGAAGGTATATAGATGCCTATAATAAAGGATTAGAAGGTAGAGTTGAGAGTAGACAGTTAGTAAATTTAAATCATATTGTCATTTGCCAGAAAATATTGAAAAAATAATAGAATAATAAAATAAATGCAATTAATAAATGTCTTTTAACAACTTTAAAACAAGAAAAAAATTCAAATATATATTGTTCCTTTACTTTTTTGAATGAGCTAATAGATTAACTAATAATCTAACAGATCAACTTTAAACTATAACTAGTTTTACTAATAAGTTAAATATGATTCAAAATTATACAATACTTAATAAATTGTAACAAAGCTATATGAGAATTAGTGTAATAAATTTATGTTTTCAAAGACTATTGAATTTTGTATACTAGTGAAATTGACTTTTATATTAATTAAAAAAAATTGATAATCAATTGACAATATTATTAGCTGTTATTTAACTCATATGATAGATGATCACCAGGCAAAAATTGAAATAAATCATGTGATTGTCGAGTATAGGCTTCTTGCACTATATAATTAGTAATTTTTAATAAATAATTTATAAAAAACCTTATATACTTTATAAGTATATACACTTTTTTTTCAACTGCATACTCAATTTTTTTATAATACAAAAATAATAATTATCTACCAACTTAACATGTCAGCAAAGCTGCCTATATATACAATTTCTAGTTTTAGAAAAAAATTATTTATTTTTTTGTATTATAAAAAATTTTATACATACACAAAGTTATAGTATACAAATACATATTATATAAGTTATTAGTTATAACATGATATGACATAACCATATCAGTGAATTTGCAAGTTTTAAATTTACTGCATGCTTAATTAACAAGTTGCAATAGCTAAGTTTTGACAGTTTTAATGCTAACTACATATATACATACTAGATGCTTTAGAATATAAATATTTTTAGAGTTGATATATATATAAAATATTAAAGTAACATATAATGTAAATTTTTATATATTTTTAATTAGTAGTTAAGAATAAGATTTTGAATTTGATCTAAATTATGACTTCTATCTCAATCCCTACTAGATAGAAATGTTATAACTTTTTTAACCAAGTTTGGACTACATCTCCACCTGGATCATTAATTTAAAAGTTATTCTGCTTTAATGAACTTCCAAATTTGATAGTTAGCTAAAGCAGTATGAGTTTTGAAAAAATAATTTAATTTAACTTTAATTATTATAAAGATTAGAGTTAAGGCTATTTTAAGATTAGATTTAAGAGGAACTATAAATAAAATTGCATTTTTGATATTTTTTATCAATATATCAAAGTAGATTAAAACTGCCAATTTTTATATTTTTTGTATTTTTTTCTTTTCTTGCTTATTTTGTTTTGTCAGGTTAGTCAAATTGTAAAATTTAATTGGATTATTATCTATATACAGATTTTTTCTTAATTAAGATTATAAATTAAACATATATATATATATAATTCTTGTTCTTTTTATATTTTTTTTAAATATTTTACATTTTTATATCTTTTTTAAATATTTATATTAAAATGATAACCAAATTATCTAATGAATACATCTATATGATATATAGTTATTTTCAATATAATCACAAAACTTTATCTTTATATACTCATATTAATTATCAATAGTATAAATTTATTATACCAAATATTATGAAGCAAGCTAGATAATTTTTTTCAAACCATAAAATTTATAGAAAGATTATTTTTAATGTTGAATAAAAAAGAACATAATTTATTAAGTTCTTTTGTATCTACTATTATCTCAAATCAAGAAAAAAGCTTTTGTTTAAATATACAAGATATATAATATTCATTACTAAAAATTTGAATAACAGTATAAAAAAGTAGATTCTATTTAGAGAACTTGAAGAAAAGACTAAATTTAAAAGGAATATTAATTATTTTTTGATTGCAATATTTCTATAAACATATAACAATCTTAAATATTTATATCTTTATGAAATTATTTGTAGTAAAAACATCAAGTTTAGTAAACTACAGTTATATCTTTTGATTTTTTAATCAAACCTAAAACCAGTTATAATTTTAGATATAAAGCACTAAATGGATTAATATTAAACTTCCAAAAATTAATTTTATTAAATATAGTTATTTCTCTATATAGTTATCTTCCATATAATTATATTATAAGTAATCACATTTTTATTTAGGCCAAACTATAATTTAATTTATAAGAAAAACCTCCATATAAGCACAACTTCTTTATAAATACATTTTTAAAAAAAGTTACTATGTGTCCAACTGTGTGATTGTAAGAGAGAATGACTGTATTTTGATAGTTCTGAAAAGGAACTATTAATCTATACTCTTGATAGTTTCTCTTAAAACTTTAAGCATTTTTTCTTAACTGATTAATAAAAATGAAAAACTCTTAAAAAATTATCTTAGTAGAAACACCTCATTAATTTTACTAAATCTTTGTGGGTATGAAAGCAAACTGTTTCTAATTCATTAATAGTTGGTGCAAAATTAGCAGATGCACTTAATAAAAACCATACTTTAAAAAATCTAAAACTTTACTATTATACTTTAGGATATGAAAGAAAACACAAGTATTAACAGATACAGTTTGCAAAAACTCTGCATTAATTTTTTTAAATCTTTGTAATAATTATATTATATCAAAGAAATGAAAACTTTAGTATATACACTTGGCAAAAACACTATATTAATTTCTTTGGGTATTAAAAAAATCAAATTGGAACAAAAAGTAGAAAAGTGCTAGCCAATGCACTTTACAAAAATGGTTTATTGAAAAGTTTGAACCTAAAAGACAATAATCTTGAATTAAAAGAAATAGAGATATTTATAGATACATATTTCAAAAGTATTTCTCTAACTTTCTTGAATTTTTAATTAGATTTTAAAGCTATTTTTGTAATTTTTTTTTTTTTATCAAATTAAAGTTGTTTTTTTTCTGTTAAATCTACTTTTTTTAGTTTTAGTTTAATAAATACTATAGATTGTTCTCTAATAATTTTTCTGCAATTTGAAATTATTCTTTTATAATTTTTTTTTTTTCAATTTAGTAATATATTATTTCAAATAAAATATGATAAAGTATAGCAAATATAACAAATTAAGTATTAAATATTATACAATAATTACTATAAAATTACATATTTACATATATACTATATTATATATAATACTATATTATATACTAGGAACTGGAAACTAGTATAAGTCCAGAATATAAAATATTAAATTATATCAAAATTAAAACCACTAAAATAATATAATAAATAAAATTTAAACTATAATTTTTTAAAAATAAAATATTATACTATATTTAATTTATAAATATACAATATAAATAACTTTTAAAAAATATTAATTTATATAATATAATTATAAAATTTATTTGTTTAGTGTTTTTATTAGTAGATAAAATTATATTAAAATATATAATTAAATTAGAATCTTGTTATTTACAAAGGTGTAAATATAAGTATTATAGACTATAAAACTTTGTATAATAGTAAATTTGTAGATCTTTATGTTTACACCTTTAACCTCAAATATCTTGAAATCCACCAAGCTGATTTTGATAATTTAACCACTATTGGAACCAGAAAAATCTAATTTTTTAATTGATCATCTATTTGTTACCTAGAGGGGATTTGCAAAATTTTATAAGTAAAGTTTACTATTAACAGAAATGTAGCGAGTCTAAATCTAAAACTTTTTTTACTAAGACAATTAATCTTGTCAATTAATTAAAAGTTCTAGAGCTCATCAAGACATATTTAATAGTAGTAAAAGTATCAAAATTAACCTAGTGTTTCTTGAAATATCTTTAAAAAACATCTTGCATACATAAATTTTTTAAAAAAAGTTTTCTTTTTTTAAAAGAATTTTATATGTGCACAAAACATTTTTTAAAGATATCTCAAGAACCACTAGGCCGATTTTGATGCTCTTATTACTATTAGATGGTCTTGAAGAGCTTTACAACTTTTAATTAATTGACAAAATTGATTGTCTTAGTAAAAAAAGGTTTTAGATTTAGACTTGCCATATTTCTGTTAATAGTAAACTTTATTTATAAAATTTTGCAGATCTTCTCTAGGTGACAAATAGATTATCAATTAAGTATTAATTACTAATTATAATTTTTTTATTTGTTTGTTTTGTTTATATATTCATTATTAATTATAATTCTATTTATATATTTGTTTTGTTTATATATTAATTACTAATTATAATTTTTACATATTTGTTTTGATTATATATTTACATGTCTGTTTTGTTTATATATTAATTACTAACTATAATTTTTTTCCTCTACAAGTTTACTTAGAGCTAGAAGAAAAGTTTATTTATTAAAAACTTCTTTGATTTTTAAAAAACTAATTTTTACTATATAAATACTAAAAATAGAAAAACATAGAAAATTTTATATAACTCATGATGGAAAGAGCAAATTACTATAATGGAAATAGACATTCTCTAAAAATATATGCTTCAAAAAATAATTGCTAAATATGCTAAGGGTGTGAACAATTATTACCTGATTTTTTTGGGGGAGGGGGTTAGAGGAATTATCAGGTGCTATATGATATAGTACTATTAGCCAATCAAAATTGCCCAATTTCATTATATAAAAATTTTTAATAATAATAATAATAATAAATATAATTTTGGGGTTAGGGTCCCATAACCTAGTGGTCTAGACACCTAATCCTTCACAGATGAGATCAACAGTTCGATTATAGCTGGTGGTAATTAATTAATTAATTATCTCTGTAATCTATGGGAGCTTTCGAATGCGAAACCCTGTGACGATAAGACCAGGTGAAGTACTTATTTAGCCTATAAAGAATTCTTGAAAGGAGTTCCAAGCCGTAGAGAAGACTGGGCACTACGTGTAATATGGCGTCACAGAAAGTAATACTGCATAAAGCTGTGCATGTAAATCCTCGATTGGCTAGGTAGCACCAACAACCTAAGGCGGTCTTGGGGATCTTGATTGGGAGGACGGCTAAATGTAGTATATTTGGAAGTGGCGAGAGAAGCGGTGAATACAGCAAGG